TACCATATGCTGAAAATTATTTAATTCATCATTTTTTGGGACAAGGTCATTCATATTATAGACCTTCTTGCAATTACCAAGCATACTCACAAACATGCTTCATAAATGTAAGACAGAAAAAAAGCATATTTGCTGAACATCCAAACAAAGTATAATAGGTATTTAACTGCATATATTAAGTTTAAAAATACTTCACACAGGGAAGTATATACAAGATCTTATGGTAGCTCACAGAGAAAAAAATGTGACAATGAATATATATATGTTCATGTATAACTGAAAAATTGTGCTCTACACTGGAATTTGACACAACATTGTAAAATGATTATAAATCAATAAAAATGTCAAAAAAAATACTTCACTAATCAAAAGATGAAACAATGCAAAATTTTCTGGGATTTTTTTCTAACCTTTTGATTAACAACATAAAGAGAAAAGAGATAAAATTACGGTATTTACCACCCTGAAAGGACTATTTAATTCATCATTTCAAAGAAGCAATTACAGAAGGAAAAAATCCCCAACTCGTTCCAGGGAAATGAGTTGACAAATGGTTAATGTCTGTTCAGATTTGGAAGGATACCTGCACGGACTTACAAACTGCAAATGTGCAGAACTGATCTGTTTGTTCTTCCCTCTTTCTTTAAGGGGATAAACAACCAAACTAATTTGATTTTTCCAAATTTGCTAATTTTATAATGGACTGAAATCCTGAGGGAGTTAACAACAGATGGATGATTGTGTTATTCTAATTTCAGCTACCTTGGGGTTTAGCAAGCTGTCATTTTTAAAAAGACAATCAATTTCTCATTTCAAGAAACATGAAAAAGTACTGAATATATCTATCCAGCGTCTGCTATGAAACATCTTTTATATCAAACGTGGTTTTTGTTTATTTAAAGTAAACAGAGTGAAATTTTGTAATAGCAAACCATTGTTCCACCTGCCAAAAAGTAAGTGATAAAGGATAAGGATATCTAAAGCCACGGGTAGCAAACAATACTAGCAACAAACTTACCACATCATCATAATAAATATTACACAATCAATCAACAGGAAGTCACTTTATTTTCAGCTGTACTCTAAAACACCAGTGGATAGTTGTTCAGCAGAAGCCTTCCAAAATTTAAATTCACATTTATGATTTATATGCCTAGATAATACTTCCAACAAACACAATATATGAGATCTCCCTCAGCATAATTTAGAAATATTACAGAGGGCAATAAATGCATGCACCCTGAGCAATCCGCCTTGTTGAGTATTTAGATAATGCATACAGCATAATGTTAATTTTAGATAATCTACACAAAATATGACCCACCAGAACAATGTACCAAAGAAAGCTGTAGAAATTGAAGATTGCCATACTGAGGAATGGCGAGATATCCACTCTGGCCATGCAAATCTCCATGACTTCTTAATTATTTCCTCTCTTACTCACAGACTTGAGCATTAATCTCTGTATGTTTTTTTTCCACGTATGTTTTCAGGTTAGTTTATAAAGTTATCATTTTCTTTACAAATGTTTTTCTTCAAACTTCTCTTCACAGTTCCTATTTTCTTTCCTCTGAATCTAGTTTCCTGATTTCAAATGTGATGATTATGCCTACTTCAGTGCGTACAACAGACCCTTGAACAATGCAGGGGTTAGGGGAGCCGACCCCGCGCAGTCAGAAATCCAAGGATAACTTTATAGTTAGCCCTCCATATCCTCCAGTCCACGTCCACGGATTCAACAAATCATGGATTGTGTAGTACCGCAGTACGTAGTAACTGAAAAAAATCTGCTTAGAAGTGGACCTGTGCAGTTCAAATCCACATTGCTCAAAGGTAAACTGCAGTTACAGGGTTGAATGATACAATGCACACTACAGCGCCTCAGCACACTATTCAACTCACAAGCAGTGCTCCGAGGGGATCAATTCCCTTCAACTACCTTCATTTCTGTTTAATTCTGTTTAATTCTGCCTTGTATTTTCCTTTCATTTCTTTGCTTTCATTTTCTTATGATCACTTTTATCCCTTTCCTAAATCTGCATTAGATGCCACTAAGACTTAATTAAGTATATATTCACATGTATATTTGCAAATCCTAATATTTTTAGAATTGTTATACAAATATATTGTGTGAATATACATGCTATGTAACAATATGTATATGTAATTCAATAAAATATATTAAATGCTATATTAAAGATGGATAAGTTTGGGAACTAACAATAATTTAAATTAGCCATATGTAACATAATAAATATCAAAATGGTAGTTTAATGTGAATGCAATAGGAGCACAGAGGAGGGACTTTTGATTGGGAGTGAGAAGAAAGGTGACATTCCATTCCAGGTGCAACTTTACAATGGAGTTGAATATTATCATATGGGTGTCATGGAGAAGAAAAAGTTTATCCAGAAGAAACAGTAGGAGCAAAGGTTCAGTGATATGAATGCACAGGATGTGTTTGGGCAGTGGTGGATAACAGAACTAAAACAAAAAACAAAAACAGGAAAACAGGCTGAGCCTCACTGAAAGCATATATTTAATTTTTTTTTAATGGAGATATGACACATCGTGTCTAACTTGAATAAATAACACATATCTGAAGGATGATTTCTTCAACATGCAGAAAAGTCATGTTACCCTTATGAGGAAGAGGGGCAATGTCTTTCGATGATCTATTGTCATGAGTCTACACTACATCTCTACTTTTCTCACTGTCCTCATTTACTGAGCCCCTCACCCTTGGGAAATTGCAGTTCTTTACTATGCGTCATCCTTTACACAGTTACTAAAATAATCATCCTAATCTACAGATGAATCAAGTAAAGCTTCTGCTAAGAAATCTTAAATGTTTTAGTTTTAATAGGCAATAGAGTAATCCAAACTGACTGACACAGTATATAAAGCTCTTTTTCATTCTTTTACCCATTTTTTCCCTTTATTTGTCAACATCTATTGACATTATTATTCTAGATACAGAGAATACAACAGGTAAGACATGGAAACTACCCTATAGGAGTTTGCTGCCAGGTGAGTTAGACATTAAGTCAGAATATGAGAAAAACATGACAAAGAGATGTGTACTGGCTTCAGACACTGAAATGATGATTCAGTAATTTGTATTTTCAGCCCACACCTTTCCCCTAAATTCCAGATTCAAACAGCCAACATGTACAGAGCATGACTACTTAAATGTGTAACAAGTATTCAAAACAACCTAAAAGCAAGCTCCTAATCTCTCTGAAATTTATTCTTCCCCCATTCCTCTCTATCTCAGTGTTTGATAATACCATCCTGGCAGTGGCTCAGATCAATAGCTTGGGTCTCTGACTCCTCTTGCTTTTTCACTCCATATTCAATCTGTTACCCAATTTTGTTGATCCTATTTTCAAAATATACCTAGAATCCAAGTACTTCTGACCGACTCCACTGACATACTCATCCTAGCCATCGCCACTTTTCACCTGGATCTCTTCAATGGCCTCCTAACTCGTCTCCCTGCTTTGGTCCTTTGTTCTCCTTCAGTCTTTTCCTGAGGCCATAGAGATCTTTAAAAAATTAAAACCAAAACATGTCACTTCTTTGTTCAAGACCCTTTATTATCCTCTCCTAACTTCAACACCAACAATTCTTCCTTCTCCCTTACTCCATTTCAGCTGTACCAGTCTCCCTCCTAGTCACCTGCTGGAATTCTCTCCCTCTGAAAACATCCATATATCTTGCTCCCACTTCTGCTGCTCTAAACACTATTTAATATTGGTACCCCCACCCCAACCCGGCACTCTACAGACCCCTTCCCTGCTGTGCATTTCTCATTCACCATCATCCAACCTGACATACTGAATCTGTTACTTATTTATTGGCTGTCTTCCCATCAGAAGGTAAACTCTATAAAGTCAAGATTTCTCTCTCTCTTTTGTTTACAGCTGTGTCCAAGTGCTTAGAAAAGTTCTATTACACAGTAGAGGAAAAATATCCATTAGTTGAATAAGTGAATGTGTATTTGGAGAAGAGATGGGGAGGCTGGCAATGCTGCTAATTGTTCAGTGTTCCTGAAAAACAAATATGAAGCATGGAGAGAAAGGGATGATGCTAGAGAAGAAAGAAGAGTAATGTAAGGCCTTGGGCATCACGATAGGAAGCTTAAACTTCACGTCAATGGTAAGCTTCTAAGTGGTACAGGAATGAGTGAGTCAGATTTACACTTCATAGGTCACTCTGAGAGCAGCATAATGAATACCTCTGAAAAGAAATGAGACTTCAGTTAGAGACATCAGGTAAAGAGGCTGTTGTAATAACCTAGGCAAAAGTAACAGTGGCTTAAACTAACATAAAGAAGAGTAAAGATCGATATAGATGAACTTGAGATATATTAAGAAGACAGAATTGATATGGCTTGGTGATTGGGAGGGAAATGTGGACTGAGTCGATCATTCCTCAGTTTTTGGTTTAGATGGACAGATGACTGCACTGCCCACAAAAAGAGACAATGTATAAGAAGGGTGTATCTCAGTGAAGGATGGTAAGGTGAGGTCCCTATTGGACCTTCCAAGTTTGAGGTTGTGAAGCACATCCAGGCGATGTTTACCTGTTAAGCATCTGGAAGTATGAGAACGAAGCTTATAGGTCTTTGAGTAGAAAAGGTGAATTTAGAAGTCATCAATATATAAGGCACGTAAAATAGTATGAGCAGATGAGATCACTAGAGGACAGTGGATAAAAACAGAAGCGTCAAAGACATTGGAAGACATTGCGTTAAGGAAAACCAATTTTTAATGGGTAGACAGAAAAAAAAGAGCTCAAAAAATTTAGAAAGTTACAAGGAAACTCAAGACATTTGCACAGAAGAGACTGAAAGATGTCTGGAATATACACGGCAAGAAGGGAGAGATTTTTAGGATGAAAAACCCTGTGCATATTTGTAATCTAATTACACACCTCTATGAAACATCTATCTGCACACTGAGCACTTTACAAAATTCAAAATGTTTAAAATGTACCTGTATATTCCACTGAGGGGAAGTAGCATTCAGATGGGCTTTCAGAGAGATGAAGCACAAATTTTCCAAGTAATTCTACTAAAGCTGTAATAAACAAGAGAATAATTAGGATATTAAAGGTCAAGAATAATACGTGATACTGCATCTCTAAATCACAGACTAGTAGATAAAAGTCATAACTTCTTCATAGCAATGCTCTTAAGGAGGGCCAATTCAAAACACGTTATCATTTTAATATTCATAACAATGTTTCCAGTGTAATTTAAATTTTAATAGCTTCACTGAGAATCTGTTCAATGTAAAACTGGAAAAGAATCATCTGTTATCTTAAGATCCTCTAAGGATTACTTCAGAATTTGCTAAATGATTTCAACACAGAAAAAAATTATCACTAATTAGGCTATAACATCTTACAATCATTACTCACACACACAGAAAAAAAAAAGTGAACCCTAAGACCAGAATCAATGCATAGCTTGCATCCCTTTTAAAAGTAGGACATATTATGTGTTTTATATACTTTGCAACAGATGGTATCTTTTCAAGGCAGCCAGATCAAAAGCAAGCTTGCCAGGGGCTGGGGAGAATGAGGGATGAACAGAGAGAGCACAGAATTTTTAGTGCAGTGAATCTCTTTTGTCAGATACTACAATGGTGGAAACATGTCATTATTATTCCATCTGTCAAAATTAAAAGAATGTGAACATCAAGAGTGAACACTAATGTAAACTATGGACTCTTGATGATAACAATATGTCAATGCAGGTTCATCAATTCACCAAGTGTACCACTCTGGGGTGAGATTTAATATTGAGGAAGGTTGGACCTGTGTAAGGATAGAAAGTACAGGAGAACTTTCTATATTCTCCACTCAATTTTGCTATGAATCCAGAACTTCTCTAAAAGTTTGTTAATTTAAAGAAAGTTGAAAAAGCTACCCGTCAATGTTATATAGAAAAGGCCACTGTATTTGCATATATTACCTCCAAAATGAATAGAACCAGGTAGATTATAATTAATATGCAATCCAGAATTATTTTGCTGGACAGAGATACATCTATAGAGTAACAGATATGCTTATACACACAACAAGTAAGCTTTAGTCATCTTTTAAAATCGTGCCCTAGTTATATTCAGGATACTGACTATGTACTGTATTAACTGAATGCACCCTTTTTCACTTCCAAGTGCATTTGTTATTGTTGTTGTTAGTAGAGGTACTGGGGATTGAACCCAGGACCTCATGCTAAACATGAGCTCTACCACTGAGCTATATCCCCCACATCCAAGTGCATTTTAAACATATAATTCATGAAGAAAAATTAGTGTTCAACCTGTGAAAAATGTAAAGTCAAATAGGAATAACATATGCTTTCCAACAATTGTAGGTCTAAAAAGCTACATCTCATGATATGTTAATGGTTAATGATGAAAATAAATTTTTTATTCACTGAACTCTATTCAACCTTTTGCACAGTCAAAAATCACACAAAATTTATAATCAGCCCTCTTTATATGCAATTCCACATTCACAGATTCAAACAACCTCAGATAGTATAGTACTGTATTTACTACTAAAAAAAAATTCTATATAAATAGATATAAATAGTTCAGCCCTGTGTTGTTCAAGGGTCAATTGTATTGTGCCTTGGTGTGAATTTCTTTAGGTTTACCCTCTACGGGGCTCCTGAATCCACAGGCTTTAAGTGTTTTGTCAAATTTGGAAAAGTTATCAGCCGTCACTTATTTGAATACATTTGTAGTTCCAACCTCTTTCCATGACTCCGATACAAATGTCAGATCTGTTACAGTTCAACAGGTCTCTGGGACTCTATTAATTTTTAAAAAACATTTTGTCTTTCTGTTCTCTTGATGTCCTTAAGTTCACTATTCTCTCCTCTGTCCCCTATATTATCAATATTAGTAAACAGAAATAGGGACAACATACTTATTTAAATGTATTACAGAATATATTTAAAATTGTAGATTTAATTATGAGGTCAGAAATAAAATATTAATGGGATATAATGATTAGAAGATAATGTGAAAAATAGGAGCTTCTTTTTATAGGGAGACGCCTCTAGAAAGACAGATATATGAGAGCAGAAAAATTAAAAGTGCAATTGGTTAAGAATCTACTATTTAAAATGGATAGACATCAAGAGGCTAAGTTAGTAAATTCAGGAGAAACTAGAAGTCTACAGGGAGCTTCCTGAACAGAAGAAGAAAAAGAGAACTATGGAATGATTTGTACTTCAGTGAATAAAAAGAACTAGCCCGTGAATATATTTGAAATTCAACCTAATGGAGTAGACTGTCTAACTATGTTCTTTCCTGATGCTGAATGAAATCAACACACGAAAATGAAGGAAAGTTACAGAGGCTCAGCAAACATGTCCTAGTTGGTTCTGTGTTAGGAAAAAGGTCTGGGATATAGTTGGGGGTTGGGTGGGAAAGGAGATGCACACAGACCAAAAATAAGGTCATGAAAAAGAAAAAAATCTGACATGTTTTAACAGATTAACTTGTGAGCTCTAGATCATATAACCTATTGCTTCTCCCACTGACTCATTACAAGTGTGTAGGAATGTTCTGCAATTATACATCTACATTGTCTCACTTCTTATAAGCTGAAACTCCAGAAATAGCAGGAGGCCAAACAGGAAAAAGTTAGAAATTCTCTCTCCTGATAGCTGTTTAGATGGCCTGGGTTTAAACCAATTTAGGAAGACTACTGATGGACTGTTCTTCCCCTCCTTACTATTACCCACAAAGGACAGTAGCTTCCCATAGTGGGGGACACAACAGGGAGTCAGCAGGTAGGTCCTCAGTACGTTCTTGTTAACTGAATTTCCCTTTGTCTACCTCCTTTTGGATTCAGATCACATAATTTACAGAGAAATTAAGACTAATTCATTCAACCATTATTATAATTATGGAAAAAAATACTAATGAATATACATAGTACTTATTGTGCATTGCAGAGTCTTATATAGAGATTTTGGGGAGAAACTACAGAATAGGTAATGATAATTTAAAAATCTCTGGTTCTTGTTAACTGTAGATTGCTTATATTGAAAACCCATGTTGAATCTCGTTATAGAGCCAGACTGTACATGTGCATGCACACACACACACACACAAATAAGTATGTATGTACAAAGGCATGTATTTGCTTAGTATTTCTGAATTGAGCTTACCCATCAAAATAGTTCATCTTAGCTTACAGACAGGAAACAAGCATGCTACGAGATATACTGACTGTACTTCAATTTACAAAATTTTTTTAATAAAAATTAATTAATTAATTAATTAATCGCCATTTGTCTATACCAGCATATGCTTACCTGTGTCTACTTAATAAGTGTTGTTTGCCTCTCGTGTGCAGAACATTAATTGCTAAAGAGAAGGTGCAAAGAGGTAGTAGACCGAACCGATACTGAGCATGGGTTTTAGTGTCAGATTGCCTGGGTTCACTTTTGCCTCTGCCACTGTGAACCGGGTTAGTTACCTAAATTTCCAGGCCTTAGTTTCCTTATCCATAAAATGTAGAGTATCTTGTAAAGCTTCTGTGAAGAGTAAGTGAGTTTTGTGTAAGCTACTAGACATTGCTGGGCAGAGATCAGGTGACTTCTCTTCTGTCTTATCACTATCCCCGTAAGAGAGAAACTCAGAAAACTACACCTCTACCTACTGTTTAAACTGAATATATTAAGCTGCTGCTTTTTCAATTTGTTCTGAACCTTTTGATATGTGCAAAGTCTATTTTAAATATTTTCCATTATGCAACCAGAGATCAATATACATTTCTGATATTTTTAAAGTATTGGGGGGTGATAAAACAGTTGAACTGCTCATTTTACACTAAAATTTTTGAGAATGTTTGATTTCTTACCCACAGATATATATCATATTCCCTGAACATACAATTTCTCCAACAAAATATGAATTTATTTTATTTTCTATTTTAAATTTTATAGCAAATGACACAATCATGAAAACCATAAAGCATGGCTGATGAAGTGGACAATTCTTTTTAAATTGTAGCATTCAAGAAATCTAGCTTATATTGACATTAAAACTTTTTCCTTAGACCATCTTTATTCAAAATAATGTTAATTAAAACATGATTCTGGAAAACAAGCACACATATCTTAGTATAAAACAAACTGTTTGCTGGTTTAGACAACATAGCTATTCCCCCCAAAATTTCCCTTATGAGTCACTAAATTTAAATGGCTGGATGTGGCAGAGTTTTAAAATATGTCAAAAAATTCAATAAAGTTTCCAAAAATATAGCAGTGAGGTACATCCAGGTGAAAGCTGATGAAACCAAGTGAACTGTTACCCAGGGAAAGGTATTTAGCTTACCAAGACCTCTGAAATAGTTCAAAAAAAAAAAAAGCTTAGTAGTTTCTTGAATTTTAATTTTTGTTCTCCAGTATCACAAATTTCTCAGAAGTCAAAGGACTTCTGGAATTAATATTATGTATTCTAGAAGTGCCAGTACTAATCTTAAGGAAACACAGCTTCTGTTAATATAGTTTCCATACCAAAAAAATCAGAAAATTAAAACATACTCACCTCCTCCACTGATTATACCAGGTTTGGCCTTCATCATTTTGCAAAATTGTCTCCGACAGTTTTCTATCCACTCAGTTTGTTTATCACACATTTTGAAATGTAGTAAAAGTTTGCCAACAATATTGTCTAATAAGAAAGATGATTTTTTATGTTATTTTAACAAGACACACTAGATACACTGAAAAATAAGTATTAACGTTAATTATGTAAACAGTCACAAGTTCTAGACAAAGTTTTCGATGGGTTTCAAAGGAAAAGAGACATTGTCTGTAATTATATCGCATACCAGAAAACTGCTGTTAAATTTATTAAAACCTCATAAAAGCTCATAAAATGGGCTGATTTATAACCATAACTCTTTCTTAAACAAACATGACTCTTTACTGAGTATTTAATACACACTGTGGACTTCAAGATTTCACTACATAGACTGACAAACATTATATTCATTCTTCATGTACATTTAGGTGCAATGTTATTCATTTATTTTAAAAGCAAAAAGAAAGCATAAGTGTAGAAAATCTCTAGTCAATCATTTACTTCGTCCTCTAGGAGGAAAAATAAAACTATGCTGAAATTGAATTGGTATCTAGGGCTAAAATACAACGTTTCTTATTTCTTAGCAATTTCATGAATACACGGCAATTTTATTTTTTCATTTTCATTTTATTCCCATGAGATTTTTCCATCTTTCATTTAATTGTATTACTGTAAGATTTTGCATTAGAAAGCACCTATAAATATATTGAGGATTTAGGTGTCATTAAAAAAGGATATACAAGTATGTATACATGTAAACATATATACTATTTTCTCACACACATGAGTGAAAATTCAAGGGGGAGAAAAATAAGCAAAGATGTTCTCTTGTTTTCTACAACAGCATGTTGTAGAACAAGTAGTCACAGAACTCATACCTTTTACTACTTCCCTTGAAGAAGATTTGGGGGAAAAATGAGTAAGAACCTTCTGAAAGTATAAAGTCAAAGGCCTGATTGCTTCTGTCCAAAGATGTGGTCTGGAGCACTACAAAACACTGCCACCTACGCTCTGCCATGGGCTGATGAATTCCACCAGGAAGACATCAGTAATCAGCCTAACACTAGAAAAGGTTTCAACCAATTCTCTACCCTTTAAAATGAAAACAATTATAAGAAAGAAATCAAGTCCTTATTCTTATCAGTCTTAAAAAAGTAACCTTTTTACCATGCTGAACTATTTCATTTTTCTATCCAATCTTTGTAAAAATACATTCAAAAAATATGTATGGAGTTCCTCCTATATGGCTATAACAATCTAAACAGACAAGGTCACTTGCCCTCACGAGACTTACATGTCACAAAGCGCATGTGTGTATATATATGCAGATGTATACACACAAATAAGAGTATAACTGAGTATAATCAAGATATACATTTCAATTACCTAATTTGATTTTTTTAGCCTTAAAAAGGCAGCTATATATTCCAACACAATCCTAATGGTTATCATACATAAAATTATATGATTAAGTATATAAATCATAATTTAGGTAACTATTTCCCTATTTGACAATTAGGTCACAAAAAAAACCCTTACATCAAAGCTATAGACACACTCTCATACAAACCTGAGTATACAAATAAATATGCCAAACATATGCATACTCGTAAATATACATATAAACCAGAAAGAACTGTCTTATTGGAAGAACGTATAATTCTAATATTTAGTACTAATCTAATATATTCTCTTTAAACATCAAGGCCAAAATGATCCTGTGATATTCCATAAGTAGCCTCAATCAGAAGCAATATCTAGAAAAAATTAAACTGATTTAGTCAAATGAGAAAATGATTATTTTTAATAAAGACTCTCAAAACCTTTAAATAAGAAATACCAAAGCTGATAATTTTGTTGAAAATTACATTATTAACAGCAAAGTATTAATGTTAAAAACACCTTGATACAAATTAGGTAAAAGACAATTCAACAGCATTACAAAGGAATTTTTATAGTTTCCACTTAGAATATCCTTACCACTTATTTCCCAAGAACAAACTATCTAGAACCTATTAAGAGTTACTAATGGTTTGTACTCACTAATCCCCTTCACCTAACTCCCCTTCCAACATTTACTGTAATGTACAGTAGAGAGAATGGTGCCAATATCTTATAAAAACTTACATGGAGTATAATCTATAAAAATACTGAATCACTATGTTGTACACCTGAAACTAATACTGTAAAAGTCAATTATACTTAAATAAAAAAATCAGTATTGGCACATGATTATAAAGACAAATGCAGTTCTTTTTCATCTTTGTTTCCTTCTATATTATTCTGCCTTTTATAACCACTACTATCTCCTTCAAATAGAGAATGTCCATATAACTTTTGTAAATTATCTGCTATTTAAAAATCCTTTTCCCTCTTCTCTCATTCTCTACACCCTATTCTTGCTCTCCTGTCTCTCCTTTTTTTTTAACATTTTTTATTGATTTATAATCATTTTACAATGTTGTGTCAAATTCCAGTGTAGAGCACAATTTTTCAATTATACATGAACATATATATATTGTCACATTCCTTTCTCTGTGAGCTACCATAAGATCTTGTATATATTTCCCTGTGCTATAAAATATAATCTTGTTTATCTGTTCTACAATTTTGAAATCCCAGTCTCTCTCTTCCCACCCCCACTCCTTCGGCAACCACAAGTCTGTATTCTAGAACACTCCCTTACACCATACACAAAAATCAACTCAAAATGGATCAAAGACTCAAACATAAGACTCAAACATAAAATAAACCTCCTAGAGGAAAATATAGGCAAAAGAATATCTGACATACATCTCAAAAATTTTCTCCTAGAAGAAATAAAAGCAAGAATAAACAAATGGGACCTAATGAAACTTACAAGCTTCTGCAGAGCAAAGGAAACCATAAGTAAAACAAAAAGACAACCTACGGAATGGGAGAAAATTTTTGCAAAGGAAACCGACAAAAGCTTGATCTCCAGAATATATAAGCAGCACATATGACTCAATAAGAAGAAAATAAACAACCCAATCCAAAAATGGGCAAAAGACCTAAACAAGCAATTCTCCAAGGAAGACATACAAATGATCAATAGACACATGAAAAAATGCTCAATATCACTAATTATCACAGAAATGCAAATGAAAACTACCATCAGGTATCACCTCACACCAGTCAGAATGGCCATCATTCAAAAATCCACAAATGACAAATGCTGGAGAGGCTGTGGAGAAAGGGGAACCCTCCTACACTGCTGGTGGGAATGCAGTTTGGTGCAGCCACTGTAGAAAACAGTGTGGAGATTCCTCAAAAGACTAGGAATAGACTTACTGTATGACCCAGGAATCCCACTCCTGGGCTTATATCCAGAAGGAACCCTACTTCAGGATGACACCTGCACCCAATGTTCATAGCGGCACTATTTACAATAGCCAAAACATGGAAACAGCCTAAATGTCCATCAACAGATGACTGGATAAAGACAAGGTGGTATATTTATATAATGGAATACTACTCAGCCATAAAAACTGACAACATAACGCCATTTGCAGCAACATGGATGCTCCTGGAGAATGTCATTCTAAGTGAAGTAAGCCAGAAGGAGAAAGAAAAATACCATATGAGATCGCTCATATGTGGAATCTAAAAAACAAAAACAAACACAAACAAATAAACAAACAAACACAAAAAGCATAAATACAGGACAGAAATAGACTCATAGACATAGAATACAGACTTGTGGTTGCCAGGGGGGCAGAAGGTGGAAGGGATAGACTGGGATTTCAAAATTGTAGAATAGATAAACAAGATTATACTGTATAGCACAGGAAATCACAGAGGAAAAAATGTGATAATGAGTGTGTATATGTCCATGTATGACTGAAAAACTGTGCTGAACACTAGAATTTGACACAACATTGTAAAATGATTATAAATCAATAAAAAATGTTTAAAAAAAACTCAGAAAGGACTGAGGTGATACAGTTAGCAGGCAAAGATTTAAAGCAGATGTTTTTAACAATTTAAAGAAAACACAAACATAAAGTGGATGTTTAACTAAACTCTAGTTTAATCTATATTGTAATCCTACTCAGTAAAATGATACACACAAATGCGCAACAAATAGATTAATCTTAAAACCATTATGCTGAAAGAAACCAGGCACAAAGTATCTTAACGTGCTACTATTTGTATGGAGTGCTAGAGTGGAAAACTAATCTATAGCTGTTTTCTCAAATGGACTAAGTTTTGCTCTCATAATCTCAGTAATGTCTACAGATATTTCTGGTTGTCACAACTGGGAGTGTGGGTTGCAGAGAGAGAGTGCTACAAGCATCCAGTGAGCACAGACCAGGGATGCTGCTAAAAATCCTACAATGCAGACAGGACAGTCCCCTGGGGCAATAAGCAATTACCTAATACAAAATATTAACAGTGCTGAGGTTAAGACATCCTATTCCATAGTCATGGAAAAAAAACTCAATGATTGCCTGCAACTGGGTGTGGATGAGAAGTTGACTGCAAAAGACAAAAGGGAACTTTTGTGGGATCATGAAAATGTTCTATACTTTGACTGTGGTGGTCATCATGTGGGCACAGATATCTGTCAAAATTCAAACTATTCTTAAAATGGGTGCATTTTGTTGTACATAAAAAGTAATTACATATACATATGTGTATATAAATGTGTATAATATAACTGAAAGTTATTTAAGTGACTGAAAAGTTTCTAAGCATACTAATGCCAAATATGAGATGTAACAGTTCATTAACTTGGTATAAAGTTTTTATCAGAACTCACTAAACCTTAAATAGAAGTACATATATAAAATGACTCACTTATAAGAACCCTAATCACTATATTAAAGTGTTTTTAAGGTATACATTAAAAAATCCTCATTAATACATCTTCTAGGTATAATTCAGTCTCCAATAATGAAACAAATACTCACTTCCTAGGGTTAAATGAAAAAAGAACTTCTCTACTTTACAAGAAGAACTGAGGTTTATATTCTATACGTTGACAGAATATAATAATTCCTTTCTTAATTCACATTTTTATAGCAACAATTTTTACATACTTCAAACCATATGGTATTTAGAGA